TCTTTCCCTTTGCTGTGTAGCTGTTTAATTTAGTTTTCTTGTGCTTTTTTTTTTTTCTTTTTTTTGGGCAGGGAACTTTTTATACCTGGTAGTGCTAACTTTTTAAAGGTTTGACATCTTTCTGTCACTTCTAACCAGTCTGCAACTTGCCTCAGTGAAGGGTAGGTGAGGGGCCTGGGGACGACTCTGTGTGGCGGTGGTCAAAGGCACACACTCACACTTCATTACTGACATTGATTTATTCCACTTTTATTTCCATTTTGTTATGGTTTTGTTTGAAATTTGTGTTTTTTTTCCCAGATAAGTTTTTTTTTTAATTTACAAAATCAAAATTTTTTACTAACAGCCAGCTAAAATTTAGTAAATATTGTTAGCTCACTGTGTTTCACTTGAATGTTTCATTTTGAAAGAAAGAAATTTATTGTCTCAATTGTAGCTTCGTATGAAATAGCCGGTCCTGTAACAAAATGCTGTGTTGTCGTGATGGTCACACCTGCGTGTGGCGTGAGGTGACCAACACTGGTCAGGGTTGGTCAGGGTTGCTCTGTCGAAATGTGATGCTCCTTATATGTAATCTCAAGCCCTCTCTCTCTCTCTCTCTCTTTCTCTCTCTCTCGGCCCAATGTTGAAGATGTAGAACTTTGTTTTTAGATATTTATAACTTTGTTCATGCACCTAAGTTTATATTTTTTGTGATTTCACACTTCAACAGTTTGTATATTGAGACATTTTAATGTGATCATGTGCTTATTAAATTATACTAATAAACATCTTACATTAACATCTTATGGACTGGATTTTGGTTGGGGTCTTAATTATTGAAGTATAATGTGACTAAGACGTGAATTTGGTAAAGAAAGATGCTGGAGGCATGAGTTCTCAGTCTAACAAAGCTTCTAATCCCACCCACAATAATGCCATAACTGCGTGGGCTTTTTATTTTTCCCAGGCACTTTTATTTACATTGTCGTATTTGATTCTCAAAGTTAACTCTCTTTTATCTGGAATCTGTAAGAGTTAAGAAGCCAAAATGACTCTTTGGTATTTTATAGCATCTGATGAGACAGTTGGCAGATGGCAATGTGCAATTATTCCAAAAGGCAGGTTATGGCATATCAATTATTGTTAGGTACCTTCTAATACTGCATGTATGTTTAGTGTAATCCATGTTCACAGTCTTCCTGAAATGCTTTCTGAATTATTAAGTACAACTGTTAACATTCAATAGCATTTCAATTTGGTAACTTTATTATT